CCTGTTGGGGTGCATGCACCCACACACGCCTACCGTACTTTAGGTTGCTGAGGCTGGGATGTGAACCCTGTCGTCAGCTCCCTTAACCACAGGGCCATAGGGCTGGACCATGAGCAGTGTTATTACGAGTACGGCCAGGCCCTGGGTTTCAAATATTTCCCTTGTGTTGAAGAAAGTTCTACCCCAGAAAGGCAGACTGTGGGTTCCCAGCCTGTCCTCAGCTCCACCCTGGAGGGTCAGGCCCTCTATTTGTTTACTCACTCACCAGAGAGAGTGAACCCCCAACAGGTCTTCACACACGCCGTGATCATCCCCCGCCTGTCAGCCAGGGTCATGAGAACAGGAACACCCAGTGTGGGGAGGCCTCAGGACGCGAGCCTGGGCCTCCCATGTGGCCTTGTCATTGCAGAGCATCGCGTTCCCACTCTGCCACCCTAGCCGGCCGCTCTCACAGGCCCTCAGCCTCAGCAAGTCCCATCCACGTCTCATAGGTTCCCTGCCTTGGCTCCACCCGCCGTCTGTCGGTGAGGCCTGCGGCCCGGCTGGTTCTCCCCACCTCCCTGCTGCTGCTCCACGGGGTCTCCCATGCCCATCCCATTCGCTCTTATTCCCCACACGGCACCAGAGGGTCCTGTCACAAAGGCGTGGCTGCGCCCCTCCTCTGCTCACGCTGTGCTCCCACGTCCACCCGGCCCTCTGAGAACTCACTCCTGACGACCCCCATCTCTGTGACCTGCCCTCACACCACTCCAGAGGGGTCCAGGCCTACTGCCTCTCTGCACTCGCTTCCTGGGCTCGGCTCCTTGCTCTCCCCAAGGGTCTGCCTCCACATCACCATCTAGGGTTGTCCCTCCCCTCACTATGGACCACATGCCCGCCCTCCAGGGTGTGCCAGTTCCCTCTGGTGGCTGTGACAGATTACTGCGACCAGGTGCCCAGGACCACAGAGACGGTGCTCGCTGCTCCGGGGGCTGGAAGTCTGAAAGGGGTGTCCTCAGGGCCAGGCTCCCTTTAGAGGCTCTCGGGGAGGGTCCTTCCATGCCCCTTCCGGCTTCTGGTGGCTGTGAATGTCCCCGGGCTTGTAGCTGCATCAGGCCAGCCTCTGCATCTGTCTTCCTGTCACTGCCTCCTCCTCTGTGCTGTCTGTCCTTCTGTCCTTCTAAGGACACTTGTTGTTGGCGTTAGCGCCCAGTGGTAAGCAAGGGCAATCTCGTCTCTAGAGCCATAATCGCCCCTGCAAAGGCCTTGCGTGCGGGGGGCCAGGGCGGCGGCACATGGCCTGTCTTTCAGAGAGCCACCATCTAGCCCCTGCACTGTTATTTTCTTATTTTCAGTGTCTACCCTCTAGACAGAAGCTTGGGGGAGAGCAGGGATTCCAGCCTCAGGTCCCTGGGCAGGGCCTTGTGTGTGGTGGATGACGCCGAAGGAGGCGTCCGTGACGGTTTGCGCACTCTGTCTGCCGCCATGATGTGCACGACATCACCTCGGATGCCCACCCCAGGCTGCCACCAGGACTTTGGGCATCTTCAACTTTTCTGAAGAGCTCAGTGAACTTTACAGTCCCGCAGGTGGCATAGAAGGCTTCTTTGGCTCAGCACTCGGCATTTTCACGTTTGTAAATTCCTGCAGGTCTGATGGGTGCAAAATACCAGCTCCTCACACTTTTGCTTCACACCTCTGGGGCCAGGACACTCGCTGAGCAACTCTTAAATGGCCTGGCAGCTGAGTCTTGCATTTCTTACCTACCTTTGGTAGACACGAGGCTGGAATGGGCCCACCATGGTGGCAAGCCAAACTGCAGCTCTGGAAGCCACATGGTGACTGTGGTTCAGAACCCCAGCCTCATCGACCTAGGAAACGCCAGTGCACACGTGAGCACCTGGGATATGCTAAGCTGGAGGCCTGGGGGAAGGGGCCCAGGTGCGACCAGACCCTGAGCAAGGGGCTTCCCCATCTCCCTGTTTCTCTCTACCATAGATAAAGGGGGAAAACCCTGGAACAATGGAGAGTATGAATACGTTCAATTAACGGATGCGCATTCGCTGGCAACTGAGACCGGAAAGTGTCTGTTTCTTTGGTTAGAAGTCATCAGTTTTAGACATTCCTTTTAAGAGGGAGGTTTGTAGCTCACTGGATTGCAAAGACAGTCTGGTAGAGTTTTTCCTAATCTGAGTAGATTCCAGAAGTCTCTAGGGCTGCCATGTCCATCATCAGCTGGGGAACAGTTGTGAACTTGAACCCTCAGGGCATCCATCCATGTGTCTGGATGGACGAGACCAACTCCTGCAGGAGCTGAGCTGCCTGGGGAGGCCAGATGGAAGCCATCTCTTTCCCGAGATGTGTAGGGGGTGAGAGGGGCATGACTCCAGATCCGGAGCACTTGGGGGTAACTCATCCCAGAGGCCGTGAAAGCTGTTCTATGGGAGGAAACAAACGTTGGCGTTTCTGTTTTTAGTTACTTCTAATCCGAAAATTGAAGGTGGCCTTACCCCGTAATAGTATAAACAAGGCGCAGTGGCCAGACCATCCACTCTGCGGCTCTGCAGACCCAGGTGGCCCTTACTGGGAGGGCGTGGGGGAAGAGTGGAATTAGTGTAAAGGTCCAGGGCAGGGTGCTCTCAGCATTGTGTGCCGAACAACCCAGGGCCCTGGCTTAGTGAGGTGGAGTCACACCTTCTAATCACTACGGTAGCTCCTCCTCCTCTGCAGGGCAGTTTCAAGATCCCCCGGTGGGTGTCTGAAGTCAGGAGTTGATTTTCCCTTTGCATACGTACATGCCTATGATAAAGTTTAATCTGTACACGAGCACAGGAGGGCCGAACAGCAGTAACTAATAATGAAAGCGAACATTACGACCATATGCTGTAGTAAGAGCTATGCGAGTGTGGGCTCTTCCCTTTCTCTCAACAAGTGTCCTTGCACTGCACCGTTCACCTGCTTTCCGGCCGTGGTTGACCGTGGGAAACGCACCATGGAAAGTGAAACTGCTGTAAGTGAGCTAAGCCTCTCGGAGAGATCGTGAGTCAGGAGTTACACCAAGAACTGTGACTCGGCAAGTAGGGAGGAAATGAAGAGCCCCTAAATACATTTCCTTCCCATTCGGACACCTCATAGTCTGCGTTTCAAAGTAAAAACAATGATCTAATCAGATAAAACCCTCCTAATTCAAAATGTTTCAGAAAAATAAACTTTTTTTTAAAAAATTTTTTGGCCAGGGGCACATGTGCTTGAGAGAGAGTGAGAGCGAGAGAGAGAGAGAGCGAGCAATCCCAGCAAGGCGTGATCACACTGCAACCTCGTCTCCACTTTTCCATCCTGTCGGATTTTGGGGTATGCATGCACACACGCCCAGCCTGTTTGGAACTGCCAGGGCAGGCATTTGAACCGTGTTTGGCCATGCAGGATCTGGTTCCCTGTACATAGGCCTCAACTGCTGTGCCACAGGGCTGGCTTGGAAACATGGCTTTCTAGCCTTGTCGCTAGTGATAAACTGCACCCCGTATTTGCTGCGTCTTGAGGTGCTGACAGTGCAATGCTTTTGTGTAGTTTGTCCTCGCCTTTTTAAAGATTAAAGTTTGGGACTGGCAGATGGTATAATGGTTATGTCACTGGACTCACACGTAGTCAACTATGGTTCAAGTCCTGGACCTGATGGCTTTAAACTCACACTGGGTGCATGTACGTGCTCGCCTAAAATTCTGAGAGGAGTAGAAACTGCAGGGCAGCCATCCCCACTGGGAATGACTTTCTGTCTCTCTGCCTCTTTGGTGAGCATACATGCCCTATAATAAAAGTCTCTTTAAAAACAAAAAAGAAAAAGAAGAAAAAAAGATTAAATTTATCTTTTTAAAGTCTGTTTTTTTTTTTCAATTTTTTACATTTTTTCAGCTTGTTGCTATTGGGTTGTCAGGAAAATCATGATGCATTTTTGCACAGAAAAATATTGAAAAACACGTCATGAGTTTCCCGATGACCTGATATATGACCCATGCACATGCTCGAGAGAGCCAGAGAGAGAGAGAGAGAGAGAGAGAGAGAGACAATGAGAAAGCACCCCCCCCCAGGAGGAGTGGCTTTCCTTCTCCATTTTCAACTCAGGATTGCTGCCACACATGCTCATACATCCAATGGGGTTTCAGTCTGCCGGAGCCAAGCCTCAAACTGTGCTGTTGATCACGTGGGATTCAGCACCTTAACCTCCGTATCACCTGCTGGCCCCACAAACATCTCTTTATAAAGATTTTTAAAAGTTTTTTATTATATATTTTTTTTATTTTAGAGACCAGCAGTTGGCATAATGGCTACGTTGCTGGACTCCCATTTAGTCAACCGTGGTTTGAGTCCCAGACCCGGTGGCTTAAACTCATGCCGGGTGCATGTGTGTGCGTGCCCAAGATCCTGAGAGGAGAATGGAGGAGAAGGGATTGCGGCATGGCCATCCCCCCGGGCATTGATTTCTCATTTTCTGTCTCTCTGTCTCTCTCTGTCTTTCTGACAAGCGCATGTGCTGTATAGCAAAAACCTCTCAAAAAGAAGGTTTTTCTATTTTAATTTTTTTTGTAATTGCTTTACCCCTGTGTCACCCTGGTTGACCTTAAGTACATTTTTGAGGCTTGTGGACCTTAAAGGGACTTAGTTCATGCCAAGATCAGATTCTCTTCATGTTGATGTCCCCTTCTAGACATTATTTCCTCATCCAGTTCAGAATTAGTATTTTAGAGACTCCAGAGGAATTGAAGAACCACCAATTTGAACCTGAAAGTTCTGTAATTTATTTAAAGACGGAGCCTAGAGCTTTGTAGATAGCACGTTATTAAGAACTGCTTGCCCGGTGTGAAACAGAAGGTCCCCACAGGGACAGGAGCTGCAGGTGCATCTGCTGGGATGTACCGTGAATGGCCCTGCGCCTCTTTGTCCCTCTGCCCTCAGGGAAGGCTTTTGTAGAGAAGCCTAGGTAGCACAAGTCTGTCTCTAATGGGCTGTGTCCCGTGCTCTTCCAGCTTGTCACATCCTGGAATGCTCTGACGGGCTGGCCCAAGATGTCATCGGCTCCATTGGACAAGCCTTCGAGCTCCGGTTTAAGCAATACCTGCAGTGTCCTTCCAAGATTCCAGCCCTCCACGACCGGTGAGTCATGCCATGACACTGTTCGCAGTGGCCTTTGCTCTTTAATCACTGCCCTGAGCTGCACTGTGGGCAGACACAATCCCAGAGCTTCCTGGGCCTGGGAACACCTGGCCGGTGCTGGCCACGGCACGGGAAGCGGGCAGATGGAGCCAGCATATGGGTGATACTCTGAGTGTGCAGAAGAACATTTTCTTGAAACTATAGTGATGGTAGCCAAGGTTACCAGAAGCTAATTTATCAGAATACATCTTTTTCTGTTTCCTCAGCAACCATGTGATGCTTCCATATGTCACCTCCTGGAGTCTATGTCATCACAAGTCCCCCGTGTCCCATTGTCCTGGTTATCGCTAGCAGCCCAAGTCCTGCCGCAAGGATCTGTCCTTGTGGGGGCTCCCAGCATCCTTTCTGCCTTATTGACCTTTGTAGGTCAGCAGCTTTGCAGCTTGTTCACCTTCTGTGTGGCCCTGGGCAGGTTCCTTAACCTCTCTGAGTCTCAGTGGCTTTATCTGGGCACTAGAAATAACCGTGGCTTGATGGTTGTTTAAAGCATGAAGTGAAATGGTGAATGTGAACAGAAACTGGGAGGTATTTGCGATAGAAAATGTTCAGAGCCTGCTGTTGAACTTCCTCAGGGTGAGAGCACATTCTGTATGGCGTAAAGCGTTTTCACCAAGCGGGGTGGGATGTGCCCATTCAATACGCTGTGCGCCATGGACTCGCATAGCGAACATCTCTTCTAAGGGTGTGTTCACTTTGAGTCCAACTGGACTTCTTCCCCACGGAATCCGTACTCTTTTCTAACTTCTGCAGCCTCAGTCTGTACTTGGGCCGTGAAGTCGGCGTCTGCTTTATCTTCATTGTTACAAAGGCTGGTTCTTCTCCTTTCTCGGTCTTCTCAGGCCTTTCTTTTAAGAGCATTTGTATTTTGTTTCCTCATTCTCTGGGAAATTTCCTTTACGACATTCATTTTGGAGGGGCCCGTGAAGGACCTCGTTTGCCCAGGTTGTTAGAAACGTCAGCAAGCTGTGATGGGAGAGGTACGGAGGAGGGTTGGGGCAGATGTGGCTGCCCGAGAACCCCTCCATGGGAGAGTGGGGAACGAATGCTTGCATTTACTGTATGACGTGACCAGCGGTCAGAAAGAAGTCCTTGGTGTACGTGTGCAGTGGTTTGAATGAGTCTCCGAAGTCCATGGGTCGGAACTGGGTTGCCGTTGTGAGGGCTCTGAGAGGGGTAGGCTTACTCAGTCTGAGTCAGAGTTGGCACCTTTGGGAGGTGACTGGCTTGCATAAGCTCATCAGGATGGGGGCCTGGGGCTGGCATGGTGCTCTCTGGATAAGGGGACAGATACCAGAGCTGACACAAGCTCTTGCTCTCCCCGGGTGACGCCCATGTCTCTGCTCTCAGTAGACAGTCCCACCAGAAGGAAGGCCCAGGGCTGGCCCTCGACCTGGGGCCTTCAGAATCATAACCTGAAGAAACATTTATTCCTTATGAATTATGTCTGTGGTATTCAGCCATAGCCGCAGAAAAACAGACTAAAGCAACGTGCATTACCAGGATAAATCTCAAAATTCATGAAAACTTTGAGAACACATAGATAATACACATACGTATATACAGTTTATGGATAAACACACGCATAGAAAGAACATAAAGCATGCAATGATGTTACCTACCAACGCCGGCACATCTGAGGATGGGACAGGGGTTGGGAATGTGGGCTGGGCGTGACTTCTATTTATCAAGTGTACCTCCCACCTAATGTAATGAAAATGGTCTCTGGGACCAGCAGGTGGTGTGGTGGTTAAGGCGCTGGACACTCCCACATGGCTGACCATGGTTCGAGTCCTGGACCTGGTGGCTTACTTTCTCACTTTCCCTCTTTCTCTCTCTCTCTCTGTGTGTATCTCTCTGGTCAAATTAAAATAAAATGAATGAATGAATAAAAGTAAATAAATAATTACTTTAAAAAATGGTCTCAAAATTCACAAAGAATTTCACAGCGAACACCTTCTATACCTGCACTGAGACATTACCACTGACATGTTACTGTTCCTATCATGTTGACCTTAGCATCAAAAGTTTCCCGAGTCTTATTTTTTAAAAGAAGAAGCCTGTATTACAACAAAATGTTAACATTCATTCTGTCACAGTGGTGACTACGCAGTTATCTTTCACATTAATTACTATGCATTTCTGTATTTTTGAAATGTTGCGTAAAAGTCAAATAAATACTATTAAAATAGTATGTTCAAAAAAGGGTATGTGGGTAGCCGTGTGTGGGGGAGTTAGTGACTACATGCCTCTCTGACAATGGGTTTAAGGTGTGAAGTTCTGTATAAGTTTCCATGTAATGACGTTCGGAAGACATTCAGGGAAAGAAAACGACATAGTTGGGAATCTCACAGAGAAGAATTTCAGCTCCAAATGCAGATATCGGTGTACAGTTTCTACAGCACAGCAGTGACGGGCACGCCGTGGCTGTAGTGACCACTGGTCCATCTGCCTGGCCTTCTCTGCTGGCCTTTGTCCTGCCCACCGCACAGGTCTCAGAAGAGGAGTGAGCTGCCCTCTCTGGGCTTGGTTGTCTTCGGTTCCAGCCCATTCCTCTAGCTAGGGGTTGCTGGGGTCTCAAGAAAGCCCAGCCTATGTTCAGTCTCTCTACTCTCGCCCCACCCAGGTCCTGGGGACCAACAAGCTAACAGCTTCTGTTTTTAAGGAGTCCTTGGGCTTTCTAGTCACTCCAAACCATTTCTTTCCAACTTGGGAAATACTGTGAGAGGTACCAGGGTTTGGTGCATCTGGCTTCTTTGCCCACCTCCTGGGCGTGAGGACGGGGATGGATGAGGGTGGAGGGGGTGCATGTTGGGTCTGCTGCATTGTACTGGGAACTCGCTGTTCAGCGTCTCAGAAGCCAGGTTTCTCCTCATCTCTCTGCTGCTGAGTATATGGATTTGTTTAATTGTAAGTTATTTTTGTTCATTGTGTTAATTTTTTGGGTAGAGATCCTGTAACTTGGATCCATCACCCATCTTTAACTGAAAATAAAAAATAGTACCTTTAAATGAGTGGGGTTTGGGTTATGATCTTCTTATTATTTTCTTTTTTGTCATAGGGCACGTGTGCTTACCAGAGAGAGAGAGCGAGTGAGAGGAAAAGTGAGAAATCACCCCCTAGGGATCATGGCCACACCTCAATCCCTCCTTTTTCATTCTCCTCCTGGAATTTTGGACATGCATCCACATGCACCCAGTGTGATTTTCAAGCCCCCAGGTCTAGGACTTGAACTGCAGCCAGCCATATGGGAGTACAACGCTTTAACCACCATGCTACCTGGTGGCTCCAGTTATGATCTGATTTTCTTTGGAGGATTTTCCTTGTGTAAATCCAAGGGTATCTGGACACCAAACCAGATAATATAATTAAAAACATTTTTCCTTATTGCTGATGTATAAAATGCATTGCACAGTTTACTTATTATTTTTGAAAAATTGATATATAATCTATATTTGGTAAACATTCACCCTTTTTAAGTGTACAATTTAGTGGATTTGACATATTCAAAGGTTGTACTCAAGGTCGGAAGCTGGCACTACTCTATGAGGTCGGTACACATGGGGGAGGCCCCCAGGTTCATGTCCAGTGGTCTCCCTGAGTACTCCTGGTATGCGTGTTCCTATGATTGGGGCTGGCTGAAAAGGGAAGTGTGGATCATGGCGTTGGGACCCTGTTAGGAGTGCTGTCTCTGTCTCAATGTTTCCTCATTCATGGAGCAAATGAACTTTTTTAAGTTTGCACAATCATTATCATTAATTCCAGAACATTTTTATCACCCCAAGAAGAAACCTTCCACCCATTAACAATTACTGTCCATTCTCCACCCTTCATCTCAAGCCACCACGAATTTACTTTATGTCTGTATAAATTTGCCACTTCTGAAGATTTCCTACAAATGGAGTCATACCGTCATACAGTGTGTGTTTGACTTCTTTCACTTAGAAGAGTGTTTTGAAGATTCATTGCACATAGATTCACCTTCACCTCCTTTGCCTTTAACTTTTCTTTCTTTCTTTTTTTTCTTGCAAATGAATATACCATTTTAACTTTGAGTTTAAAAGTGCTAGTTGGTAATAAGTTAACCAAGAGATGAGTGCAAAATTTCTTTCTTGGGATGAATTAGCTGGTGGTATTTAAAGATGGAAAGACACGCAACTTCTTTGCTATTTGATATCATTATATCTACATTTGTTGTATGACATATTACATAACAATTATATCAATTAAAGTTGTTAAAAGCTTGAATAGGAAAAGGAGATTCATTCATGTCATGGAATTTGAGAGTATCTCATTCATTTTAGGGATCTTAGTAATATTCTATTGTACAGATATATCACCTTTTGTTCACTCATTCATTTTGTTCATTCACTAGTTTGTGGGTATTTGGATTATTTCCACAAATTAGCTCTTCTGAATAATCCTGGCATGAAGATATATGCAAGTTTCTGTGTGGACGCGTTTCAACATTCTTGTGTAAATAGGAGTGGAATATCTGGACTATACAGTCATGCTATGCTAACCTTTCTGAGAAACTGCAAAGCTGTTTCCAAAGTGGTTGCGCCATATTGATTTCCATCAACACTACGTGAGGGTTCTCATTTCTTTACATCCTTACCGACATATGTTATTATTCATATTTTAAAGTATAACTACCCTAGAAGAAATAAAATGGTCTCTTTGAGTTTGATTTGAATTTTCCTGATGACAAGTGATGTCAAGCATCTGTTCATGTGCTATGGGTTATTAGTCTATCTTCTCTGGAGAAATGTCTGATCAAATTTTTGGCCCATTTTAAAGACTGGACTAAATTTATTTTTATTGTTGAGTTGTAGAAGTCCTTTTTATATTCTGGATACAGGTCTCATTTTAGATAAATGATTAGCAAATATTTTCTCCCATTCTGTGAGCTGTATTTATACATTATTGACAGTGTCCTTTGA